AGTGTTTAACTTTTTTAAAGTTACAAAAGTAAATAATATTTTTTAAATGAATAAAATACAAATCACACTGACATTATCACTAAAACTTTGTACCAGATTTTTATTAGAATAAAATGTTGACCTACTGGTGTGCTTTCCCCCACTGCAATCTAATGATGTGCACCAGCATTTCAAAGGGGGACAGTTATTGCGGTGAGTGTATGGAGTACTAGAGCAGAGCTGTCTGAAACACGGGGATGGATGGATGGAGTAGGATATAGTTTATCCTTGTAAGTTTTGTGTTGCACTCTTATATCCTACCCTCCTTTGGTGGTCAGCATCCTTTATTCCCATAGGAATCCTTTCATCGTTTGGCTTCTGGATCCGTTGTTCCATCCTGTATGTCCAGAGTTCCCAGGAATGGCAGCCTATGTAGACCTAGTATCCCCTTAAAATGATGTATGGTCTAGATCCATTTTTTACCCATAGAAATTCACATGTTCTGTGTCCCTTGTCTCGTCCCTTCCAGCACAGGCCCCTCCACCCTGCTTTTCAAAGTAGCCAGTAGATCATATGACAAATATATTTATGTTGCTTACATTTTAATGAGATGGTTAAGTGTTCTACTTCTTTTGCATTTACGTTCGATAGTGGGTAGATGGCCTGAAAGAATGACTGCACTCTTGCCATGTAACCCCAAGTGGAAAAATGAACGGAAAAAACTCGGGCCAAGAGGAGCGTTCAAGTGCAAGCTGGTGGTAGAGGTTTAGAGCCCCTTAGAATCACGTAAAGAGCCAAACCAAGGAACTGCCACCTCAGTTTCTATCAAGATGGGCAGAAGCTTAGTCTTACATGTAGCATGTGTGACAAGGATCATTATGCTTTGAAATAGGTTACATATATTCCCCTATCTTTAAATTTTTTTGACCCATGGCCTTTTCTGTCTTTTTTAATATAGTTTTATTTAATATAGTTTTATTTGCACAGGGTTTCCATCTTTTGAAACAATGTGTTTTGGTGCTTCAGCAGAACAGAAGCCGTGTAAAACAAGAAAATCATTTCTCATCTTTGACCACCAAATTCTGTTTCCTTGTTTATTTTGGATGCTAGCATGTTGTTACAGGACTACTTAGAGAAAGGAAAAGCATATAGCCTCGTGGGAGAGAGAGACTAGTAAAGCAAATGGCTTAGGCAGCAGGATCTTCTTCCTAATCCCACCACTCCGGGCCCTTCTGGCTAATGGTGGGAGGTTGCTTACAAACAACCCCAGGGAAGTTCGAGAACATTGGAGCTCCTCACCAAGTTTCCCATCGTCATGGGCACACTTATTGTTTAAAGCCAGTCTCCACTTCTATTGCTCTATGCTTGTGTAGCTCTTTTGCCAGGGATGCTAGGAGTAAGCTGGACTCCTTGGAGCAGTCCCACAGGAGCTGGACAGAGGTGGAGGCAGAAAGCCTTGGCAGCTTTATTGAGGCAGCTCTCAGAAGTCCCCATGGCCTATGTGTGACATGCAAGGGATTCCCAGGGGAAGTAGAGGTACTGGCTGAGGTAGACTAGCAGAGACCTAGGGTCAAAATAGAGTGTTGGGAAGGACCTTGAGACCCAAAGGTAAAGGGGGATGTTCATGGACTCCAGGAGAAAGTGCCTATTAATTGTGGCTCCACTTGTCTATATCCAACATAACTTAGAGTCAACCAACCTGGTAAATAGAATAGAGTGGTTGCCAGGGGCTGGGAGAAGGGAGCAATGGTGAGTTATTAAAGTTTCAAGCAAGATGAACAAACTCTAGAGATGTGATCCACAACATTGTACCCATAGTCAGCATTAATGTATTATAAACTAAAAGAGTTGTAAAGAGGGTAGATCTCATGTCAACTGTTCTTATGACAAATTTTTTAAAAAATCAGGCCAGACCCTTGGTTAAAAAGATCCAAAGAGGATGCAGAGGATACTATAGAAATTAGATGAGAGGAGGGAGCTGGACTGCCATGAGGTCACATGAGCCACGCCTTCCCTTTATACCCAGATGCAGTTTTAGAAAGGAAACTAAACAGGGCAGAACATTTACTGATCAAACCCTGACCTAAGTGCACCCAGCAGGGGTTGTGTTATTTAAAGATATTTCATATATTATTGCCTCAGATTAGCATTAAAATACTGGACTGAACTAAAATTTGGTTCTCCCTACCCCCAGCTACCCATTAGTCAGAGACTCATGAGAAAGAATGGATGAGTTATAGAGAAGTAAAGCAGCTATCTATCTCTTGCAATGTTTGGCCCAACTGCCAATGTTTCCTTCTCACTGGCATTTTCTACAGAAATGTCCAGGCTCAACTATTGCCCACTAAATACAAAATATATTTTAGACTGACATTTGCCCCTCATCTGATAAATTAATGAAGTTAATGAAAAATAACTAAAAATAGGTAGATGAGCTTGGTATATGGTGACAGAAGATTTGACTTTGGATGGTGGACACACAGCATAGAAATCTACACCTGAAACCTATATGATCCTATTAACCAATGTCACCCCAATAAATTTAAAAAATAGATGATACATTTCTAGAGAGCAGACATTGTAATCAGAATTGCCTAGTGCCTCTCTACACACACACAAACACAAACACTCACAGGTATACCACCTACACATGAGTGTGGTTTCTGGAACAGTGCTTTTTGATAAATTGTGTTTGGTGACTACACATTTGTCTCCCATGGACACTTACTGTTTTCAACAGTTTCTTGACACTCCCTTGGCAGTGAAGACACATGCACACTGAGGTTCTCTGAGATTTTGAGGTGGACTTAGATATCCTAGTTCTGGTCAGAAGTTTCCTGGGAGAATGATCATAAATGAGATTCTGGCATTTTGGTCTTATGCCAAAGAGAATGAATCAATAGCCCTTGGGCAGAAATACCTAAGTTTTATCTTTCTGGCACATTTTCTTTGGCCCAGTCTTCTAGAAGAAAAATGGATTTAAAACAATGCTTGAAGTCTGCCTCTATCTCTGCTAGTTACAACTATCTCAAATGTGTGCCGCCCCTCGGGTGATCACTTACAGACCTTCTTTCCTTCTACAGAATGAAATGCCTGGACTTGGTAACTGTTCTCCAATCTAAACCTCACTAAGAATTTCTAAACTACATAAATTATTCATTAAAGATTGAGAAGTATAAAGAGAAGGAAGGAGGATAGACATGAGATACAAATCTCTAGAGCCAAAGGCAGGGAAGTTGACAATAAAATTTACAAAGGCTTAGTTGTATTAGGAGACACACCAGACACTGTTGTTATTCAGATAGGGCAGTCGTCAGGTTTTCAAAGATGCAGTGTTACCGTATGAAACTAGGTACCCTCGACTCTGTTTCCTAGATTACATTCTTTTAGCTCAGAGAAGACTCTGATGGAATGCAGTATTCACAGGGTCTCCCCAGGTCTGGGAGGGTTCCGGGGGTCAGGCTGCAACTCACAAAGAATGTACTAACCCATTTTATCAGGACAAAAGCAGATTATTAAATATTGAAAACCAAGCAGAGGAGGAAGCAAAGACCAGTTCTTTGACTGTAAGAACCTTTCTATCTTGATATCATCTCCACATCTGTTTTTTAATAGTTTTTTTTTTCCTCCCTAATTATGAATCTCTTTTGAAAGACAGTGGATTTGATTATAGGGGCAAGATGGGATGGGGGAAGCTGATTAGTTTGTGCCCTCCTCTGTAGGAGACAAGGGTTGAAAAAAATCCAAAGGGACAGAGTGGAAGCAATTACTAACAAATGATTTCCTGCCAGTGCCTCGATTCCAGGGCTTAGACTTAGAGCAAGAACAGTGAAGTCTGTGGATTTGAGAAAGGCCCTGGCCCCAAGCAGTCAAGGGACCCACAAGTACAGTATTCTGAAAGGCTGAGATTTTAGTACGCCAGTTGAAAAATTATAATCTCTAAATTCTTTCCAGTTGTATCCTTGTTACTATGTAAAATGTGTCTTATCGTCTAAGATTTTGTAATCTCACTCTTCTTCAGCGGAGCTGGTCTTCTAGCTGGATGTTAAGCTACCATGATTCATTTCTGCATTCTCAGCAATTAGCAAGTGCCAGAGGCATTGTGACTAAAGAAAGAGCAAGTGCAGTGCTTGCATGTTGAATGATAAGCAGTTCGTCCTTCCTTTTCTCTAATTTATAATAAAACCTGCCCCCAACCCATGAAGGTTGGTCTGATGGATTCCTTCTCAGGCTTAGTTGTCCGTTCATGGCTTTCCTTTTAACATTGGTCTATTAAACATTCAGAACAGTTCTTTCTGATAGGGTGCTTTCTGAGCTTGAATTTGCATAAACCAATTCACACAATGGGATAAATGAGCTAACGGGCAATTTCATTCTATGTGATGATCCATTGTAAAACAAACAAGAAAAATGCCCTCTGATTGGCGGTGGTGCATGGTTTGAGTAGAAGATTAGAAATTTTGGCAAAATTCAGGGTCTCTGGAGTTAACAAGCCTCTTACTCTGCAGATGTTCCCATCGCAGGTGAAGCAGCCTTAGAGGGACTCCTCACTGACAGCAAGCAGGGTGTCCTTTTATGAGTATGTGAACCACCCAGTTCACAGTAGCTGTCTCTTCCTGATACAAAGACAGTGATCCCTTTGCCTCAGCCCAGCGACTTCACTGGTAATTTTCTCAAAAGCTAATGGGGCAGAGCACTGTAAATATGGGGATGTTTTACTGTAGTCCTCCGATGACCCACAACCAGTTTCTATTATTAATAATTCCTCTAAGGGTCATCGGTGGAGCATTCAAGAGAAAGCACCACTACTTCTGTTTCTAAGGAAATACCAGGCTGCAGACTCCTGCTCTGAATTGTTTCCTGTGCTTCATTATTTACTGACATTCCTGGAATGCAACCAACCAAAGCCTTATCAGGCAAAGGCAGATCCCCTGAGCCTTTTATCATTCTGTCTGCAGTTTTGAATATTTCCTATATAACCAGACAGCATACCAAATGAAGCTAGACTCTTTGAAGGGAAATGAGTCGATTGGAATGTCAATTTTATTTAGTCATATATTATAAAAACTAAACAGCATATCCAGCTGATTGACAAAACTCATCCAACTGTTAAGGGCGAAACAAAACTATCTCAAGAGGTACAGTTAACGCAGGTCTTGCTTTTACCTACAGGCAGATATGAGAGCACGAGAGAGAGAGAATTGAAGCAGAATGCAAATCTGAAGTTGTCCAACTGATAGAGTAAGGAGTGAGGACTTAGATGTAAGGCTAGCACGTCGTGTTTTCTCTCTTCTTCTTCAGTGAGCCTTTTAACTTCTTCCACAGGCTGTCTTTCCTCTTCAATTTCTTTTCCGTCAAGGATGGCACAGACTCCTTCTTGCGGATTTCCCTCACTAAACCATGAAAGGCATCATCAATGCAGAATCTGAGGGCCGCAGAGGTCTCAAAGAAAGCACAGTTATATTCTCGGGCCAGACCCAAGCCTTCTTCTGTAGAGACCTAAGGGGAAAATAAAAACAATATTAAAAAGAGAGGAAAGGAGAGATGCTTAGATCAGAAAGCATGTTCTCTACCAGGGCTGTAGGCCTGTTACATTAAAAAAAAAAAAAGTAAAATGTGGCAATATGTTTTAAGGGAAGGTTTCTCAAATTTCTGAACCTGAAGGACAAAGAGAAACCAGAATCTCTGAAAGGGCACCTGGTTAGAATTTATTAAAAATGGAACTGGAAATTAACTCTTCAGACTTCAAAAAAAAAGTAACGTGGTCAAAAGCATGGCTTTAGATTAAAACTGCTTGTAGTTTTGCAAACTTGAGTAAATTTCTTAACCTTTTGACCTCAGTTTTCTCATATGTAACGTAAGATAATACCTGTAAGGCTGTTAAGTAAAATCGTCAATACAACGTGCTTTGACCATGCTGAACACACATTTTTAAGCTCTGTAACTACTAGTTATTATAGTTCAGAGCTTTCAGTTAAGAGTAAGTCAGGATGAAGTTGTCATCATGAAACTTAAAATACAATCTTCAGGTGAAAACAAAAAGCAAAATGCCACCATTATGATAAATAATCCTTTCTCTAGCTGAGCTCTTCAGAGCAGGCTGAGAGCTTTGTGAGTTTTTATCGTTTCTTTTTCGTGTGTGGCACTTAGCATGTTGTGGCTCATGCTAGTGCAATAGGTCCTCTAGAGGTGATACACTGACTGAGGTCAGAGTCTCTGCCTCATTTATCATCCCTTGGTGTCTGTCACAGTGCCTGGTGCCTAAATCACCATTAGATGAGCTAAAAGGATGAGTCATAAATATACTTGAGTTTACTAAGTATTAATTAAGATGTAAATATAAATGCACAAATATTTAAACAGTGAATTATGTGTCATGGTAGCTGGGTGCTAGTAATCTTGTTCAAAATGTAGCACTCCTGTTAAATTCTACTAGAATATTCACATTGGCTCTGAGAAAGCAGGAGTGTGCTGCCTTTACTCAATTTATTTTCTTTTAAAGTTAACCTGATGTTTATATATTTACATGCTCAGTTTTTTTCTGCAAATGGAAGTATATGGTGAACTGGAAACTCCATCAGTCTAGAACTTGAGTGACTGGGCCTGGGACTATGATGAGTAGAGATTTCAGTTCACCCCTGCTGGATATGTGACAAAGAAGAAACTTCGGTCTGTTAAGCTGCTGACATTTTGGAGTTGTTTATAACCTGAGTTAACTGATAGAGCATCCCATATTGCCAACAAGTGGTTGAGCAGGGATGTGAAACAGGTCTACTGATTCCAAAGCCAGGTCCTTTCTAGTCTGTGATAGGTTGACCTCACCAAGGGCTAATAAACAGGTGAGTATAAGGAATGCCTAAATTCTCTCCTTTCTCTTTCATTCCTGCTAGCAAATACCATCAGTTCTTTTCTGAGCTTATTTCTGTCTTATAGTAACTTAAGAAATACAGCTAAAAGCATCCAACTGAAGTGATTAACATTGTTTTAACAACAACTTAACTAAGTCATAGGTTTATTAAGTAGCTGGTCATGTTTTCATACCCCACAGCATGTGTTGTTCTTTATTTTCCCATCTCCTATAACAGTTTTCTCCACCCAAAAGCCAATGACTCATATTTCACATTTTCCTATAGCAACACCTCATTTCTGGTATCTTTTTTTAGATTAATCAACTTTTATAAGGCTATATGAATACAAAAATATCTTCAAAATCTCCATGGCTTGCAAAAATATTTATATCTTGCTCCTGCTCCCCATTAGCAACTAGAGAGGAGACTGTGGCAGTTGGGCTTCAGTTTACCTCTCCTTATTTGGAACTCAACCCAGATATTGCTGCTCTTATCAGCCTATGATGTTCCCTTGACAAAGCAGGTGGGTGAGAGGCAGAGATCATTTTTCTTACACCCCAATCAGTGGTCAAAAGACTAATGGGGAAACCTAAAGTCAATAATGCAGTGTGTACACTCAGCTCACAATAAAGGATGGGGGGGGAAGCAAATAATTCTACAGAAATAATAGAATCCAGCAAAATCATTTATATGTACATGCAGTATACTTCCCAATTAAAAGAGGCAAAGATTGTCAGACCAGATTATTAAAAAATCACTTGTTCTTGAAACACCTTACATGTAAGGCTATGGAAAGACTAACATTTGAATGGAAATTAATACAAAATTAAGCTTATATATTGACATAATATCAAACACAGTAAACAGCAAGTTAAAAAGATAAATCTATCATGAAGATATACTTATAAATTGTATGTACTAAAATTATAGTCTTAGTTCCTAAGAAAGAAAAGTTGATAGAAGTAAAATTCAAAATTATAGTGAAAGATTTTAACACATCTCACTCAGCAGTTAAAAGAATAGGCAAAAAAGTTAGTATGGATATAGAAAGTTCAAACAGAACGCTATTTATCTAGTTTACACATATAAGATGCTGTACCTATTCAACAATGGAAAAATTTACATTCTCTTCAAGTGAACCGGGAGCATTTATAGAAATGGACTTCATGCTGAGCTATAGAGAAAGGCTTAAAACATTGCAAAGAATCAAAGTTACAGCATATTCCCAAACAAATGGAATTCAGCTAGTTTTAATAGGAAGGTAACTAGGAAATTCCCAAATATTTTGGAAAAATAGTCAAGTCAAAGATATTACATAAAAATCATAAAATATTTGACACTGAATGATTAAAAAATACAACATATTGCAACTTGTGGGATATCTAAAGCACTGTTTAGAATGATCTTTATAGCAATAGTTGCATGTTTTAGGACAGTGGAAACCCTCAAATTCAATAAAGTAGCAATGTTAAAAAGTTACGAAAAAATGCCCAGAAAATTTAACCCAAAGAAAGTAGAAAAAGGAAAATTTTAAACATAAAGACAGAAATAAATATAACAGAAAACAATCATGCAGAAGAGAAAACTAAATCTGAGTTTTTTGCAAAGATGTTAAGTTGGACTGTCCCTATTAAGGCTTCCTCTAAAGATATAACAATTCAGGCATATTTCCCAAATGAGGAGTGGAGTATTAGTTAAGGGCTAGGCAGCTAGACCAATACAATGAAATAGAGAACCCAGAAACAAGACCAAAATATATATAGGAGCTTAATACGTTATTGGAGTGGCATTTTTCAAATCAGTGGGGGAAATGAAGGTGCATTCAATGGCACCCTGACATTGAGTTATCATTTTGGACTATTTTTGACAGATGGAGATTACCTTCCTGTTCTGGTGGAAATAATTTTTCTTCGGGGAGAATAGAAATGAAAAGTGATTTGAGTGAAGACTTTAATGAAATCAACAATATTTTTTACACATTTGAAAAATCTTTCTATACAAACACATATTTATGAAATGCTTCCTAAGTATAAAAATGCAAAGATTACAAATCATTGACAACATCAGAATTCAGTTAAAAGTCTGTTGAAATCATACACAGTGAAATACCATCAACAGATGACATAGCTGCCTGTTTTATTAATTGTAGCAGCTGAAGTATATTTAATTTGGTAACTACTGATGAGTAAGTAATTTAGAAATTACAAACCCTCTATTTCAAAGTATGAAATGTAATTGCATGTATTCTTAGATTCATTATCAGAATATTAATCTTATGTTATTTAATAGCTGTAATGAACATGAAAATTATCTAGAGAAACCTAAATGGAAATTGAACTTAGTAAACTATTTAATCTCTTCTATATTTCCTTCAAAATTTATTAGATCAGTGACCTAAAGTTTTTATTTCTTAAGAAAAAAAGTGAAAGCATACTTTAAAAATTTCCGTCTCACACCAATATTGACAAACCATAAATTTGCCATCCCTACCTTTGATGTTGGAATTGATATACTATAAGTTCAATGGAAGAATTTGAGTCAAAATATGTAAGAAAAATAATTTTTACAGATTCTAAGCTTGATGCTTAGTAATTATGGTCAATTTGAAGGTCATAAATATTTCAACAGTATCATTAGGAATAATTTTAATCAACTAATGGTGTTCTGATTGGCTTAGAACCAGAATAACATAACAAAAAGTAAAAGCTTTTATATTAGGTTTAAAACCAGGGTAATTCATATAATATAATTAATATGTTATACATTATCCAAATTTTGAGTAAAATATATTTCAGTTATAAATGTCTATCTACATCACACAGTAACTGCTAAAAAAGAAGTACAGCATTATAAGGGAATTAGTGTTTTTTTGTTTTTTTTTTTAAATTTCTTAAATGAGGAATTTCAAGGCCAGAAAGCTTAAGCAAATGGTTCAAGGTCACACATTTATTAAGTAAAACCACCATCAAATTCTAATCTTCCATCAAGTATTGTTTCCAGGTCAATCTATTTTTCACGGGATCTGACCAGTTCCATTTGCTAGTATCCCATGTATGTAATTGATTATTCTGACATGAGTTGTTTCAACATAAGGTGATTCTTAAATGGCAAACAAATGGCATGGAATAGTTTATATTGCATTTACATAAAAAAATTTTAAATATAGAAACATAGGGAAAATACATATTATAGAAAGATTATATTGGGGGGGGCAAGCAATCAATGCAGATACTATTATACCACCATGCCCCTTAATTGCAAAGAAAGGGAGTCTGTGATTAAAAGTGCCATCTCGAGGCCCTACAAAGCATTGGCAGGAAAATAAAGGAATAAAGAAAAATTTTTCATAAAAGTAATAAAAAATTTCGATAACCCAGGGGAGCCATCTTTTTAATATATATGACCTTTTTCACCGAGGAAGATCACTGTGTAATATGCCAGGTACTCCCTGAAATGCCATTTCCCATTTGCCAGAGGGGGTATTAGAGCACAGCCACAGCTGCGTGGGGGGTTAATGAGACTCCTGGAGCAAGCAGAGCCTGTTCTGTTCCCTGCTCAGCTGCTGGTGGGCAAGGCACGCATGCTGGTCAATTAGCTTCATTTCCAGTAATCTGCTGACTTCAGGAGCTTCATTGCTCATTATATCTTTTT